GTGGGGGGCTTTGAATCACCAGTTAGATGAATCAACGCAAAAAAATTATAATCACCATCGATGACAGTTAAAACAAAACCATTTACTTGATGATTATTTAAAGACACTTCTACCTTTAATTTGAACTAGCTGTTACCCACGGGCTTCGCCCCGTTTGACATCATAAGTATTAATAAAACTATTGATTCGTTAAGTTAACCTGAAATAAACAAAATACAATAAAAGAAACAAATAATCACACCTGATTTTAATAAGGTAATAAATTGAAAGAATAACAAACAAATAAGTACAGCTGAGGTATTTTTAACATTAGGTATATAAAAAGTTCCCTTTAGAAAGGAATTACGACCTTAAAGGGCAATTTATGACATAATGGATAATTTTGCGCAAGGTTTCTCGTCATGACGAACATTTTAAGTATATGGTTTATGGGGGTGTGACTTGTAGTTTTCTCAAAAGTTCATGGGTACTTTTGGCTTTATATATAGACTAGCTGTAACCCGCGGGCTTTGCACCGTTTAACTTCTTAATTTTCAAGATGATCTCGTTTACATGGCTCAATCACGTCCTGGTTGAAGTTCGTTCGCTACGCTCACTCACCTTTAGATTGGAGCTCGTTCGCTACGCTCACTCACCTTTAGATTGGAGCTCGTTTGCTGCGCTCACTTGCCTTCAGGTTAGCTCGTTCGCTACGCTCACTTGCCTTCAGGTTAGCTCATTCGCTACGCTAACTCGCCTCCAGGTTGAAGTTCGTTCGCTACGCTCACTCACATTTTGGTTGCAAATTAGCTGTTGTCATAAATGTAAAAGAAATAATAGTGCTGCACCCTGTTGGTAATCCTTGTAACTTCAATGCTATTGAACATCATAGAACAGAACCAACTTGTATAATTGAAACAGCTGTTAAGATTCATTAATTCTATTTCTCATAAGGTTAACATGGGAAACTCCAGAGCCACTGGGGTGGAGCCGATTGGACGGATCACGAAATTGTTGGTGTATAAACCTATTCCATGAAATTCTACACGTATGTACCAAGTTTCGTGGCAATCGGTTCAGCGGTGTCTGAGTTTATCACTGCCAAACAAATATATATATATATATACAAACATCCTCTTTTATACTTATACTAGCTGACCCGGCGAACTTCGTATCGCCTAAGTTATAGGTTTCCCCTAAGACAGACCGATGGAAAGAAAGTACCGTTACGTTTAATTTTCAAGATGATCTCGTTCGCATCGCTCAATCACGTCCTGGTTGAAGTTCGTTCGCTACGCTCACTCACCTTTGGGTTGGAGCTCGTTCGCTACGCTCACTCACCTTTAGGTTGGAGCTCGTTCGCTGCGCTCACTTGCCTTCAGGTTAGCTCGTTCGCTACGCTAACTCGCCTCCAGGTTGAAGTTCGTTCTCTACGCTCACTCACCTTTGGGTTGGAGCTCGTTCGCTACGCTCACTCACCTTTAGGTTGGAGCTCGTTCGCTGCGCTCACTTGCCTTCAGGTTAGCTCGTTCGCTACGCTAACTCGCCTCCAGGTTGAAGTTCGTTCGCTACGCTCACTCACCTTTTGGTTGCAAATTAGCTGTTGTCATAAATGTAAAAGATATAATAGTGCTGCACCCTGTTGGTAATCCTTGTAACTTTAATGCTATTGAACATCATAGAACAGAACCAACTTGTTTAATTGAAACAGCTGTTAAGATTCATTAATTCCATTTCTCATAAGGTTAACATGGGAAACTCCAGAGCCACTGGGGCGGAGCCCTTTTAAGAATTTCGAAACGGGAAATAGTTTACATCTGATTCGCATACCTACAGAATTTACACACCAAATTTCATAACGATCGGTGAAGTCGTTCCGGAGGAGTTTGCAGACAAACACTGTGACACGAGAATTTTATATATTAGATATGTATATTTAGTTTAGTTTTAGACAGTCTAAGCTACTTTCAGTTCTATTGCCATGAAACGTATACAGGAAGGAGAGCTGATTAGAGACAGTAGATACAGATGAATCTGAGGTTGACACGAAATTGGTTTGGCACTGACAAATAACGTGATTTGTTGTCCTAATGTCTTACTTCGGGACAACCTTAATATGGAACTCACAAGGCATTGAGTGTAAAAATATTATAGTGATTCCAATTTGTTGTTTTAACGAAAAACTTATTTTTTACATCAGGCGGGTATGCAAGTGTTCTTTTGTACCTGCCTCTAAATATGAAGATTTTAGGACCCCAAAATGGAGCCAAGATGCAATTCGTTGTTGGGCTATTAATTAATCCATATAAACAAGTTCGAAGTTAGATATTAACAAGATAAGGTTTTGGAGCATTTATTTACAAAAAGTGAAAAATCCAAATGGCTTTAAAAACTCATAAAATAAAACAAAGGTTATTTTTTACCTATCAACGATTTGTTTACTTCTCTACAAAACTAACTTAGTTATGTGATCTGTGTTAGTTTTGTTTTATTACAGTTATGAAAATCCACTGTATTCAAATCAATTATAATTGAGGTTCTACTATCTTAGGAAACCTCAATCATAGAAAAGAAAGACCAAAGAATCAACGGAAAACGATTATTCGGAAATATTAAAAGTACTAGAACTGTTGTGGAACTTCAGCAATGCTTATGATAATACTCAACTAAATCATTATCAATTTATTTGCATTAGGTTAATTAATATTAACATGTATAGTACATAAATAATATGTTTGACCATGAATATTAAAATAGAATGATGCTCTCTGTAAAATAAAACATTGGTGGGTTGACTTTCCAACGAACCCTTTTTCTAACCGGGATAATCAGTGTATAGTATATCTTTCTTGATAAAAAACCTCATTGGATAAAAAATTTTAAAACATAAAGAAGGTGATAAACTTACGGGTACCGCCATATTGCAATAAAGGTTAATTAGTTAAATTGTCAACGCTGGTTCACAAGCGCGGCTTTACAAGGCTTTGCACGGTTCACAGTGAGGTAGTAGTAAACAAAAGGCCTTTTTACAACTTGAATCCGTACAATTTCATTTTAGAAACTTTTTATTCTAAAAGATGAAACTTAAAAAAATCAAAAACGGTGAATTTAGGGACTAAAATGATTGTTATCAATCCATTATGCATTTAAAAGATTTCTGCGGACATTTTCCATTAGGATTAGTAATAACTTTTAATGTATTTCGAAAGTTTTCTCGCCTAATTTTTCACCTATCTTGGTGGAAAATGTCTAAAATATTGAATAATTTAGACTCATAACATTAAACATTAACTTCAAACAAAGAATTAAATATTCTGACTTCAAATTAATAACGTGTATTACAGATATTTACGTATAATATTATGAAATTCGAAGAATATAGAAAAAAATAATATCTGAGTGTCTAAAATTATCCGTAGAAAAAGGCCTGAATTTTTCTGTGGGTGAAAATAATAAAATAAATAAATGAGTAAAGTTATGTTGTAGTCAAAGAAAAACCCTATCAATTATATATTTTTTTATTTTTGTAAGACTAAGATAGTAAAATCATTTCAAAAATTTAAATATTCCTTTTTAAGGTAGCTTAATGACTAAAATTCTATAAAATTTCAAAGATATCGATCCCAAGAAATGTTTTAAAGCCCAATCACCACTAGACACTGGGCCATTAATTAAAAATGCTTAAAATTAATTAAAACGTACGTGGCTTATTAAGTGGCGAGAACACGAGACTATCTTAACCCGGGTTCAAATCCCGCCAACATCTAAGGGATTTGGGCTAGCGAAGCCGTTACCAGGGGGTTCGTAACCCAACATCAGATTTATTTCAACGTGTTTAAAAAACGAAAATAAATATTTAATATTGAGTTTCACAGGTAAATATAATTAATTTCTCCTGTACCGGTTAACTTCTTCAACTGTTTAAATGGTCTTAGTTAATTAATTTAATTTATAATATTTTAAAAACTACTCTTCGACGTTATATTCTCATATAAGGTTTTGCCAAAGTCCTTACAAAGGCCTTAACAATTCAAAAGAAAGTTTTTAAAAAGAAAGACAATTTTGTTGCAAGATATAACTAACAGATGTGAGAGAGAGTGTTAAGGCCAGACCCAAACTTGAACATGTTGAATAATTGAGAAGGGTTTGACGTGTTCGTCCCGAAACATATCATGACTATCATTCTATCATGACTTGCATTTTAGAAATTTGTGGTTAATATTACATTATTATTGTTTCAACATTTGATTAAGGGTTTGGTAAATATAGGTTTCTATAAAATGATATTTTGTCGAATAGCCTTCGTTATAAAGAACGCACTTACTTTAATAGAAAAACATATTTAGTTTTGGTGATAATGTGTAGGTTATCTAATTAAAATTTGGAACTATGAACGACAATATTGTATATTTCCAACTATCCCTGCAATTTCAAGCGAAAGGTCTTTTAAGGATACTATGTGAACGTAAGAGGTTTTGATGAGTGACAACATCTTTTCTTTTTAGTTGCTATAGGGAATATACATACACATATTGTATTATTGTTGTTAAAAGATATACACTTTACAATTTTTCGCTTCCTTTCTTAATTATAAATAGAAAAATATAATTTTTGCGATTTATTCGTTGAAGTATTGTTATGGCCGATTAAATTAAAATGTTTACTATTGACAGTGTACTTACTCTAGCGAAGAAGATGTGTTACAAATACAAAATACAAATACAAATACAAATATATTTATTCTGAAAATTACAACAGCCTGGCCTCACCAAGTTTATAAAACTTGTCGGTGAGGTCCAATTGATACAATAAGGCTAACAAACAAATAATTTACATTTTTTTTTCTTTTTTGAACAAAGATTTCTTAATGTCCTATATTTCTACGGCGGTTTGTGGCAGGCACTTTAACTGAAAACAAAGTAGTTGGCAGCACACTAAAAAATCTAAAATGTAGTGACATAAATATTTCTTTATAATCACGGAATTCTTTTGGATTGCTCATATTTGGTCCTCTTTGTTTTTCATGGTTCGTAGACCATGTTTGAACTGTTTGTTTGTTTGCACAGCAGACTGGCACTGGCAGCGCCGGCCGAGCTGAGCTGACTGAAAAAAAGAAGAACCAAAAAAGACCTGAAACCTTAGTCCGTTTGGTTTGACCGAACGAACATAACCTCTCACTCACTGTGAAACGCCCATGCATGCATGCATTCTCACAATTCACAAAAAGCAGAGAAAAATAATAATAATAACAATTATTATTGTTCTGAAACAAAATACGAATATTAAAATATTTAAATTATTAAGGCTTAAACTTTAAATGACATTTTTTTTTTTGAGGATACAGGATTTGAAATAAGTTGGTCTTTAAACTATAGGGCACTCTTTTAGTTTAGCTAATGTTCCTGTAGCATATTGACAATGGGAACAAAAAGTATTTTATTACTATACTTTTATACCACTATTGCTTTTATTACCATATCAGCGTACTGTTTGATGTGAAAACTGATTTGGTCTATAAATATAAATAAACCATCCCATATAACAAAATTGCTTCGTAAAGATGAATTTGCAAATCAAGAATCTGAAAGTATTATTTATTTTAAATTTCTGCATACTGTCCCAGATATTGAGATTTATAATGAGTACATGCACTGAAGATGGGAGTGTCAGTCCCATTGTATTATCAGCTGGGACAGGCACATCTACACAGCTGGACAGTTGATAATCGCATAATGCTTTCATTAATATAAGCTTATAATCATAGCAAAGCTTGACAGCTACCCCAATTCGGGTTAGGGATTCATGCAGGTTTATTGTTCATGAATAGTAACAGCTTTTATTTTTACCACACCACATCAATAAAGAAAAATTTTAAATACATTGCAGGGCAAAAGTACTACTTTTAATTAGGTATGAAAAGAATCAGCTGGTTCATCACACGACGTTTTTGCCCTCCAGAGAGGCACTTTTGGCTGTAGTATGAAATATTCTACTATAGATGTATGGACGTAGTATGGATGTATGGATGTATGGATGGGTATAGATGTGTGGAAATCTTTTTTGAAAGAGTATTTTAAATAGCCTACGTTATTTTCTTACTATTTAAAGGGATTTCGCCAAAAACTACATTTGCTCAGTTATTGGAATTGCTATAATAGGATTTCGACCGGGTACAGGGTTTAGCGCTACGATTTTTACAATCAAGCTTACAGTTCAAAGGTAGAGGAACCAGAAACTGGCACTTGGCTACAACGGACCTAAAATAATTACTATTGTGTCTAACAAACTATACCAAGTTTTAATCTATGTGGTAATTTCTTTTTAAGGATCTGCAGTTAATTACATTTTAAAAGTGTAATTTACTCCACAATTGTATAAATGAACTCAGTTTAGTAACTCCAATCGCACCTGTAGCCTACATATTGAATTATAATTTATTTGTGGTAACGAGTTTTAGGTTCCAAACGAAAAACTCTGTGTAGTTTGTAATAGGTTTAGCAACGCTTTAGATTAAATGATTACAGAAAAACCTATTCCTGGACAATTTAAACATTTCATTAGGAAAATAATTAACTTTCTCACAAAAATATGTCCCTCAATCATTGTTTTTTTTAAATACTAAAGCAGACACCGTATCTATATAGAATAGCTGTAAAGTATTTTCAGAAACATAAAATATTAGGTCAATGAGCAGCACTTAATAAAAATATTCTGAATACTTAGGAAAATAATAGAAAAATTAAATTTAAATATAAACCAAGTTAAATTTGTAGTATGTTTCAATTCACCACAAATTATTCCACTTTCTATGGATCACGAATTGAAAATATTTTCCAAAATCAATAAAGTACATCACATAGTAAATTAAATTTTTTTAAGGATTTTCCCGCAAAACTATTTAATAAACGCTGCGACGGTGTAATAGACTTGACAAAGACCCACGGGTCACAGAGACTACACTTGTGGAATATGTGTGGTATAATTAACCACGCTCTCTCAAAAGGCCACCAACCATTTTACAGGAGACCATTGAGGAACGCACATATTTATTTTGGTCAAATATAAAAATATTCAGGTAACGGTTTTACAATGTAAATTGAGTTAAATAATTAAGCTTGCATAACGTAGGCCTACAACTTTCTTGCAACAAGGGGAAAAAGTAAAGATTAAATTATTCGTCCATCTTCAAGTTTTAATAGCAGTCAAAGGATTACTAGTTTCTGGTCATACGAGCCATTATGAAATCCGACACTAAATTGGAGAAAGTTTAAAAAATACAACAAAGTGCTTAATTTTCAAACACACGTCAAACAAGTATATATAATAAACCCACTAGAGCGGCTACACCAATATTTGAAATATATCAAACGCAAGTAGGCCTACGGTGGGCTATCAACTCCATAGATTTCGAAATACACTTTAATGTTTTTTTAGGTACAGTATCATTATGGATAATGGATTAGATGTGTTCATTATCAGCTGGGTCAGTGTCATCAGCTGACAGGTCATTATCGTATAATGTAATCTGTGATGAGCTTATAATCATTATCCGGGTTGACACCTTTAATCGTTGCTGTGCTGGATACTATTTCTGACGATTAAGTAAATATTCTACTGGAGTTATAGGCACCACTTGATTTTATGAAGTTTACTTTGATTCAATTCTACTGTAATGCAAGGTAAGTGTAATACATTTGAATAAAGTTATATGAACGTTAAACGTTTCAACAATTCATAAAGCTCTCATACTTGGAATAATCAAATATTAATCGATTTACAGCACAGAATAGCGGTTTAAATACTATAAAGTGATTTTAAACACTATAATTTATATAATGAGTGTAAGTTATGGCAACAATTAAATCAAAATGAAAGTAAAAATAGTCAAACCCCTGAAAGAAATATATGAGCCTATCATTTAAGGAAAATACAATCTAGAATCGGCTGTCAAGTAAATAATTTCAATTAGAAAATATTATAAATAAACTCAAATACAAAACTTATTAATAGAACATCGATAAACGAACTAGGAGTTAGCAAATGTATCAATTTGGTCACCAGTAATTGATTCACTTAAAATTATAATGTCTGTATGGAGAAATGTTGACTAAAGTTTTAAATAATGAAACAATGAAGACTGCCTCATGAATTAGTTTCTATTGTCCAAAGCTCTATACCCTCGGGTTATTCGAAGCTATGCACGTTGTTGCGAAAAAATGGGAAATTCTACAAATAACAATAGAGTAAAAAGTTAGCATTTTAAATAGTTTAAATTTCACAGTTCTGTAAGTCGTTTTTACACTTTTCATAACAAATCTATATAAATAAAATTAGAGTTTTGTCTGTACATTGCTTAGAATAATGAACTTTTTGGTTATTTTTACATTTCATAGGTCAGAGAAACCGAATCAAACCTTATCTCAATTTCTGTCTGTCTGTCTGTCTGTCTGTCTGTCTATCTGTCATTCTCTTGGTAACGCTAAAATACGCACTTTATTACAACTACTCCTCAATAACTATAGCACTGTCCCGCCTGAAACTTATTTTCCAAATACTATACATATATGAGATGGTTTTAGACGTATTTCATCGAATATGAGACAGTTAGATATTTAACAGTAAACCCTTGAAAATCAAGTTTTTGTCGATTTTTGACGTGGAATTTCTGGAAGCCCATGTTAACCTTATGAGAAATGAAATTATTGAATCTTAACAGCTGTTTCAATTAAACAAGTTGGTTCTGTTCTGTGATGTTCAATAGCATTAAAGTTACAAGGATTACCAACAGGGTGCAGCACTAGCACTATTATTTCTTTTACATTTATGACAACAGCTAATTTGCAACCTGGAGGCGAGTGAGCGTAGCGAACGAGCTAACCTGAAGGCAAGTGAGCGTAGCGAACGAGCTAACCTGAAGGAAAGTGAGCGCAGCGAACGAGCTCCAACATACAGGTGAGTGAGCGTAGCGAACGAACTTCAACCAGGACGTGATTGAGCCATGCAAACGAGATCAGATAGTAAAAATAAAAGTAAGCCTACCGTTATAGGATCGACCGGCAGACACAGAGGTAATTTAACCTTTTATTGATTGTCATACCGATCCGGAACAACAAAAAACAACATAAAATGAAGCTATGTATAATAGTTTGGCCAGCATATCTTAAAATATGCAAACCAACTGCTGTTCTTTATATAAGAAGGTTTCAACTGAATATTATAAGATCCCCGTGCGTAGAACGGGTACACAGCTAGTTTCTTTCTAAAAATATGAACATACGTACCTAAGGAAAAAATGTTACCAACTAAACGAATTTTCAGGCGTACAATCTTGATTTTATACAAATGTAAACTTTTTTGAGACTAATTCCTAATTCCTCATAAATGAACAAAAGTTAACAACTACAATAAACCAATACACAATTACTCTATAAAATCTTAAAATTTCTACCAGGAAATAAAATATTTTCAAATTATATAAGATGTATCCATTATCGAGCATCGTAAATTAATTAGAATAGGCTACTTTTAACAAGGGTAACATGAGGGACAACTGCGAGTATTACTTTTAATATTACCCAAAACCCGATATTCTGTCCCTAACCCCCAAAGTAGCCTTTTATAAAGTCAAATTGAGCTAGTTCACTAATATATTTAAGTATAAGTAATTGTTAATGATATGAAAATGAATACTTTACATGAAACGAAGTTTTTCCCTTCTGGAGTACCAAAAAGGGTATTAGTCATAGAACTGCCATAAACTACAATGGCAACTGTAGTTATCTGTAGCAATATTTGTGAAAAAACTCCAAAAGCCTCAATGGTAGCTAGATGGACTAGTCATATTGTGCTGGGCATTGGTCCCTGGGATCCCCGAATCAAATCCCACAAAATCAAAAATTGTATCCAAGTGATAATACGACGACCTCTAGTCCTAGCCTGAAGTAATGTGAAAAACAATCCCGCTTCAGAGCCTATCGTCCTAGGTAAAAAAGAGTAATTAACTAATTGCAAATAGTTTTCTATTCATTAAATTCTCATTCGGTATAGAGAGAAGATAATGTTATGCAGGTATTACCTAATTACATAGTTGAACTAATCGTGCGATAACTACGGGATATGACCCATTGGACTGAATAATGTTTAAAGTGAATATGGTGGTATTATTATAGCTAGTTTCTACATAATCATATTTGGTTGACTAAGTATAATCGTTCTTGATGTTCATAATTGTAGACACATATACTACTAAATTAGCAATAAATGATTTTTGTTATAAACTAGTCTTGATTGTTATTAGAATAATTTGACCAAAGCACTTTAACAACACGTTTACTACTGTACTTTAAATGTACGTAAATATAAATTGTTCCTACCTTATAACTCATACATTATTTAAGTTTTGTATGCGCTTAATAAATACTGAATGTGTTTATATCAATATGAACATGCATAACCGTCTAATTTAACTTTGTGAACAAATAGTAACAATTCCTACACAGTATAAGACAAACAATTCATATAAAAAAAACCGTATAGCGTCCAAGTATTTTGGCATGAGAGTATAAATATAAATTGATACCATTTGTAGGCGTTTCATGAATATATTCTGTAAAATTTGACCACCTAATTCGTAATTTTTTCCAACAGAGTCAAATTGGACACAAACGAATCGAGAATTCAATGCCATAATGTGGTACTGTGGGCTTTGGCATTTTGATACTCTGTCAAACTAGTAAACGTTTAAAACTTGAAAAATATAAATTTTTAACAATATATTTTTATCATCATATCAAGGGCGGAATTGAATAGAAACAATTCAGGAGACGAGATAGTACACACCTAATAATAGAGATAAGGAGCTTATACCCTTATACACAAGAGGCCTTTGATTATGTACTTCGTGAGATAAGCCTGTACTGATAATGATCGGATCATAGTAAGCAATCACTAAGCTTTCAGAGTTGCGTCTTCAATGTTCTATGATAAATTCAATACAGAAATTTATGTTCACTCGTATTTTGTCAGACAATAAATTTTCTTGGTTGCCAATTAGTTATAGTGCTCGCCTTCTAATCAGAAGGTCGCTGGTTCGATTCCACCATGATCGTTTCTTGACCCAGATGCTAATTGTTAAAGGGCTATGAACTAATTAATGTTATATAAAAAATGAAAAAGAAAATATCCAAAATATGTAGGGACAATGACACAAAATCACAAAGTGGCTAAGGAAAATTAAACTAGTTTGAAATTGAACCTTTGAACATTTAAAGTTAAGTTTAAAACTTTTTTTTAAATATATTTTGAACTGTGATTTACTGTTGATCAACTGTTTTGAATTTAGGCTCAATTGGTCACCTAATATTGTCAGATCTCATATAGCCAAACAGCTGATTGAATTGAATCGAAGTGAACTTTATGAAACCAAATGGTGTATATAATTCCGATAGAATGTATTTACATAATCATCAGAAATAGTAGCCTCTACGGCAACGATTGAAGGTGTCAACCCGGATAATGATTATAAGCTCATCACAGATTACATTATACGATAATGACCTGTCAGCTGATGACACTGACCCAGCTGATAATGAACAGATAAACATCTAATGCATTATCCATAATGATACTGTGACTGAAAAACATTAAATTGTATCCACTTGTTCAGTTTGATCATAATCATTGTTATGATCACCTAAAGTAGGCACCATGAATATATTTCTTCAAATATCCCAGAAACCAACGATAAATTGATCTTCTGCAAGTGAGTTAATGCTCCACTTGAACCAGTTAGTCAACAATGGAGCTGTTATTGTTCCAAATAACACAGTTAATTTGAAGTAAGTAGTTGCACAGTCTGTATTGTTTACTGAAGAGGTCTATTGTTGGCGGAATCTGCGATTGACTGAGATAAGTTGAGAGTTCACTTAGCTCTGCGACTGCAATTGAAAGATCGTAAATAATTATAAACACTCCAAAATAAGCCGTAGTAATTAATACCCTCTTCCTAAACAAAAATATGGGGGAATTAAATCCGTACATACGTATACACAAATACCATCAGTTAGGAATATTCTAATAAAATTATAGCTTATAACAAGACCACTATGGCAGAGCCCATAGTTGGATTGAATTCCAAACTTTATGGAAATCAATGTACCACAACCTATCCAACGACATCTTGAACATGGTGATCAATTGTATGACGGCATCAAAAAACCATCACAAAATTCATGCTGGCCTATTATACATAGAATAGATAGACTATATGTAATTGTAGTTTTAAAATTTAATCAGGTGAAAAAATTATGTCCATGTAAGCGGTACGATTGTGACTAAACACACCAAAGCGTCACGTGTAATTTTAACACCTCTACAACCGCGTCAAATTTACTTTGTGTGAAACCACCTGTAAACATCATATTAGTTTGGCGACCAATATCAACGTTATAAACGATTGCGTTCAGTTAATAATCAAACAAACAATGTTGATCAAATAATAGTCAAGTCCGCAAAGGTAAAACGAGCTGGATCCATTGAGGATACAAACATTACGACTCAAAGCAGAAAAGCCAAATATGTGCTTAGCAATGACCACTAAAGGTGAGTAAACTGAACAGTTTTATGGAAGACGATTTATAAAATATATAACCAACCAATTCTTCACAATGCTACTTGTATACTAGATTAGACTACTATCGTATGGACCAGTGTTTTAGTTCATTTATTCAATTAATGAAAACATATTTTAATGAGCCACCCATATTTGATTATAGATACACTACCTGTTCAGCCAATACCCTAAAATTGTTTACTACTTTTATGATTCCTCTTTGTTTTTTGTTTTTTTTTTTTTAGATGTGAAGATGTGAAGATTTATATTAAATGTTATGGGTGTAAATAAGAGGTTGGCGTAAAGAAAGAAAAGATATATTTACATCCGGCGTTTATTTTTCAACTGGCTTAGACTTAAACGTAGGGATGGAATCTACTTTACGGAATTGAATCCATAGTCAACGTGTATTTGACCTTAGGAGATTCACATTCGTATAAAACCCAATGCAATTTAGTTTATTTATAAAAAGAGTAGCCACTATGATTTATCATTGTGATCAAAGAAAGATGAAAAAAAAACACTGGAGGAAAAACATTCTTAATAAAATTAAGTATAGTGATAACTCTAAGCATAATATCAAATAATAACCACGTTCACAAAATAAATATATAGGCACTTTCAAAAATACATTATATTAAATTTTTTTATAACATAAGCATAATTTTTTTAACATTTAGATAAAGTTATTGTTGAATTAAATTTTATATTGTGAGTCATTATTGAAAATAATCAATCTACTGAATGGTATCACAATGGTTTTAAGCAGTGATACCACCATGATTTACATGTTAAATCAACAATAGAATTTGCTTATAAAAATTACTTACCTTACCTTACCTCCTTGGCCATTGAAACCTCAGAAGGTTTTTGGCCTCGCCAACGATGCTTCTCCACTCTTCTCTATCCACCGCTGCCTCAGGAGTAGTGCCCAATACAGCCACATCCTTCAGCACCTGACTCCTCCATCGCAGTCTCGGCCTGCCGAGTGGTCTTCTGCCTTCTGGTTTGTTCTGGTCCACAGCTTTGATCAATGATGAGTTCTCTCTCCTCCACACATGTCCAGCCCATCTCAGTCTCCTGCTTTTTATCCTTGCTACTACATCTGGATGGTGATACACATCTCTCTAAAAAATTATGTCTATAAAAATTTGAAGATCTTCAAACAATTAAATCAGATCTATGATTGGGTTATCTGGTGAGAGCCGAGACAAAGGCTCCTCTCTAAGCCCCTTATCACTATTATCAGCTGATATGATTACAGTACCACTCTACTAGGTCTATTAGATTGTGGCAATTGTCTAGACACAGCTGACACAGTCATGTAGAAGAGAGTCAAGAGAAAGGCTCCTCTCTAAGCCCCTTATCACTATTATCAGCTGATATGATTACAGTGCCACTCTACTAGGTCTATTAGATTGCGGCAGTTGTCTAGACACAGCTGACACAGTCATGTAGAAGAGAGTCAAGACAAAGGCTCCTCTCTAAGCCCCTTATCACTATTATCAGCTGATATGATTACAGTGCCACTCTACTAGGTCTATTAGATTGTGGCAGTTGTCTAGACACAGCTGACACAGTCATGTAGAAGAGAGTCAAGAGAAAGGCTCCTCTCTAAGCCCCTTATCACTATTATCAGCTGATATGATTACAGTGCCACTCTACTAGGTCTATTAGATTGCGGCAGTTGTCTAGACACAGCTGACACAGTCATGTAGAAGAGAGTCAAGACAAAGGCTCCTCTCTAAGCCCCTTATCACTATTATCAGCTGATATGATTACAGTACCACTCTACTAGGTCTATTAGATTGTGGCAATTGTCTAGACACAGCTGACACAGTCATGTAGAAGAGAGTCAAGAGAAAGGCTCCTCTCTAAGCCCCTTATCACTATTATCAGCTGATATGATTACAGTGCCACTCTACTAGGTCTATTAGATTGCGGCAGTTGTCTAGACACAGCTGACACAGTCATGTAGAAGAGAGTCAAGACAAAGGCTCCTCTCTAAGCCCCTTATCACTATTATCAGCTGATATGATTACAGTGCCACTCTACTAGGTCTATTAGATTGCGGCAGTTGTCTAGACACAGCTGACACAGTCATGTAGAAGAGAGTCAAGACAAAGGCTCCTCTCTAAGCCCCTTATCACTATTATCAGCTGATATGATTACAGTGCCACTCTACTAGGTCTATTAGATTGCGGCAGTTGTCTAGACACAGCTGACACAGTCATGTAGAAGAGAGTCAAGACAAAGGCTCCTCTCTAAGCCCCTTATCACTATTATCAGCTGATATGATTACAGTGCCACTCTACTAGGTCTATTAGATTGCGGCAGTTGTCTAGACACAGCTGACACAGTCATGTAGAAGAGAGTCAAGAGAAAGGCTCCTCTATAAGCCCCTTATCACTATTATCAGCTGATATGATTACAGTGCCACTCTACTAGGTCTATTAGATTGCGGCAGTTCTCTAGACACAGCTGACACAGTCATGTAGAAGAGAGTCAAGAGAAAGGCTCCTCTATAAGCCCCTTATCACTATTATCAGCTGATATGATTACAGTGCCACTCTACTAGGTCTATTAGATTGCGGCAGTTCTCTAGACACAGCTGACACAGTCATGTAGAAGAGAGTCAAGACAAAGGCTCCTCTCTAAGCCCCTTATCACTATTATCAGCTGATATGAATATAGTGCCACTCTACTAGGTCTATTAGATTGCGGCAGTTCTCTAGACACAGTCATGTAGAAGAGAGTCAAGAAAAAGGCTCCTCTCTAAGCCCCTTATCACTATTATCAGCTGATATGACTATAGTGCCACTCTACTAGGTCTATTAGATTGCGGCAGTTCTCTAGACACAGTCATGTAGAAGAGAGTCAAGAAAAAGGCTCCTCTCTAAGCCCCTTATCACTATTATCAGCTGATATGACTATAGTGCCACTCTACTAGGTCTATTAGATTGCGGCAGTTGTCTAGACACAGCTGACACAGTCATGTAGAAGAGAGTCAAGACAAAGGCTCCTCTCTAAGCCCCTTATCACTATTATCAGCTGATATGATTACAGTGCCACTCTACTAGGTCTATTAGATTGCGGCAGATCTCTAGACACAGCTGATACAGTCATGTAGAAGAGAGTCAAGACAAAGGCTCCTCTCTAAGCCCCTTATCACTACTATCAGCTGATATGATTATAGTGCCACTCTACTAGGTCTATTAGATTGCGGCAGTTGTCTAGACACAGCTGACACAGTCATGTAGAAGAGAGTCAAGACGAAGGCTCCTCTCTAAGCCTTATCACTATTATCAGCTGATATGACTATAGTGCCACTCTACTAGGTCTATTAGATTGCGGCAGTTCTCTAGACACAGCTGACACAGTCATGTAGAAGAGAGTCGAGACAAAGGCTCCTCTCTAAGCCCCTTATCACTATTATCAGCTGATATGATTATAGTGCCACTCTACTAGGTCTATTAGATTGCGGCAGTTCTCTAGACACAGCTGACACAGTCATGTAGAAGAGATTTAAGACAAAGGCTCCTCTCTAAGCCCCTTATCACTATTATAAGCTGATATGATTATAGTGCCACTCTACTAGGTCTATTAGGTTGCGGCAGTTCTCTAGACACAGCTGACACAGTCATGTAGAAGAGATTTAAGACAAAGGCTCCTCTCTAAGCCCCTTATCACTATTATCAGCTGATATGATTATAGTGCCACTCTACTAGGTCTATTAGATTGCGGCAGTTCTCTAGACACAGCTGACACAGTCATGTAGAAGAGATTTAAGACAAAGGCTCCTCTCTAAGCCCCTTATCACTATTATAAGCTGATATGATTATAGTGCCACTCTACTAGGTCTATTAGGTTGCGGCAGTTCTCTAGACACAGCTGACACAGTCATGTGTAGATGTACTGTATTGAAATATCCCTATAATTTATCTGGTTACTATGGATACCGACCACACCTAAAAATAAAACCTAACCTAACCTAACCTAACCTAAGAGTGGACTATGCTTTAGGTTAGGTTAGGTTAGGATGATTTTGTTATTTAAACTAATTAACGTATTTTTTTAACTAGATTTATCGATGTGGTTGGTATAATACCAAAGTTCCTAGATCTGTTTTGATAACTTACAAATTAATTTCAAAATCGACCAATTTTCCTAACTCATCACCACTATATCGGTTATTTAATAATTCCAAAAACGAAATATTGCTTCAACGTGCACGGCAACGATTGTATGAGCGTTAGATTTAGAAGTGCACTATTCTATTGCGATGATAAACCTATTTCTGTTTTTTATTTTTTTGGTTTAACCATTACCATGAATGTTATTTTACATTTACCATAACAATGCATTTTTATATATTACGAGATTTTCTAATTTATAATTATCACCCAATTTGTATGTACAGTAAGTAGACGTAGTTTTTCAGTTACTTTGTTTTAATGACATATCCTATATAGTTTACAAAATTGCAACTAAAGCTATGACAGGTTCTGAACACATGGTCATGCCATTATGACAAAGCTAAATACACTGGTGTTTGGAAGAACTTGAACCCATACATCTAGGAAAGGAAAAATATCTGCACCTAATATTGTTACATAAAATACTATATCGTATTATATTTTCATATACTTAAAGAATTTATAACATACTGTAATTTAATCAGTCAAAACGTTTGTTAGACATTTGTTCAGTAAAAGCTCAATAAATAAATAGATTTATTTAAACTTTCATTCAAAATTGCTAATATTACTGTCTAAAAATACGTACGATTTTAAATATGTAATTTTTTTAAGCATTGTAATCAATATAGTTAATTATTTAGAGAGTTTCTGAGCAATTCTCTTTTCTAAAAATTTAACAAAGACTGGACGAGAGGGAATATTTTATTACTCTTTTCTTTGTTTTATTACTTGTTTGGTCTGCGTAATAAACAGTTCTTCAGACTGATCCAAAAATCTTTTGTTGAAACATTGTTTTAAACCAAAAACTTTATTTTGTTTAGTATTTACAACGAAAAATAATATCTCAATTAGTTTAATGCTTAGTATAGACACTTTGTTTGATTTTCTTGAAAACATTGTTAGTGTTCATTAAAACCTGTATAAAGGAAAATCCTTTTCACTAAAACTCATAGCTTAGAATTTCATGATAAAAAGTACTGTATGTGGTTCAATTCCCATTTGTCACTTGTGACACTTTTCCTAACCTATAATGCTAGGACCTGGTTGTTCGGAATCCACACTGAACTTTAAACACTGTGTAGAAATCATACGCTGTAAGGAGAGCTTTATTTTTTTCAGATTACCCTCCACCAAAAAGCCTTACGATGACTTAACTTTGTTATTTATAACACTATTGGTATTTAAACATATTTTTGCTTTCTGAGTTAGAAAAGCAACCCCAATAATAAAAGTGGAAAACAAATTTCAACAAACTCTAATCACAAAGCACTGATATCAAACTGAAAGCTCGAAATTATCTCTGGATCACAATTGGAGTAAAAACCCCGTGATAATCTTAGCTGAAATGTTGTAAACAGAAGCTTGGTGATAACGTTTATCAGTAAACGCGCTGATGGGTCGTGTCGTTGTTAATGCTGATAGAACGATAGCTGTTATCAGCCGAATGTTGGTATTGTCGTGTATCAAATGTTGCCGAACCATCAAGCTTACTAGGGCTGTGAATAATCTGGTCGAATGCGATTCTCTTTCACGAGAATCACAACGATAAATGTGATAACAAATCGATTAACACAATTAATATTTAGTATAATCAACAAAAACTTCACTAAAAATACAGTATTATTGTCGTGTAAAACTATTTTTTCTGAATTGACTTAAATGCTCACAAATACTTAAAACTCCTTACTAAAAATACCTATACCAAGTGTTCAATAAATACTCAAAATTTTGATTAATTTAAGTAAGTAAAAATTTGCCTTCAAATATGTATACAAACATTTATGTAATGAACAGTAATTGTTTATTCTCTTCAAAACTGAAATCCAAACAAACACCATAGACTTTAATCTATACTATTATAAAAAAGAGGTGGTTGCTGTATGTATGGGAAAAGTAAACGCGAAAAATACTGGTCGGATTGGGCTGAA